AGCTCGCCGTTGAGGAAGGCCGATTTTACGTCCAGATGATGGACGCGCCAGTCCTTCGCTGCTGCCAAAGCCAGCAGCAGTCAGACAGACTCCATGCGCGCTACCGATGCAAAGACTTCCTCGAAGTCGATGCCCTCGCGCTGGACAAAGCCTCGGGTGATGAGGCATGCCTTGTGCTTGACAATGGCGCCGCGCTCGTCCCGCTTGACCTTGTACACTCACTTTAGGCCGATCGGACGGCATCTTGGAGGTGGATCGACGAGCTCTCAAGTCTCGTTTTCCTCGATCGCCTTCATCTCCTCCAGCATCGCCCATCACCAATTCGCATCGCGCTCGCCCAGCGCGAATGTGGGTGGTTCCTCTGCACTAACGAGAAGCAGCTCTAGGTCATTGAGCAGCCGACCCACCAGGCCTGAGGATCCTGTGCCGCCGACGATATCGTCCAGCCTGCAGAACCGCACCTCCTCACCGTCGTGGAAGGCATCCACGAACTCGCTGATGTTGCTTGGAGGAGAGGTGAACTTGATCGGTGGTCCCTGGCCTCCCTATTCTACCGGAGTGGTCAGCATCGCTGCAGGACCGCTCAGCACCACTATCGGAGTGGTCGGATCCACTGCTGGAGTGGTCGGCACCACTCCTGGAGCGCTCGGCACTGCTGCTGAAGTGCTCGGCACCCCCTCTGGAGTGCTCGGCACCCCTCCCAGAGTGCTCAGCACCGCACCAGGAGTGCTTTGTTGCTGGAGTGGTCGGCACCTCCTCTCTAGCGTCTCCACCACCGTGGATGACCAAGTGCTCGACAACGAAGGTGCTGGTGAAGCCGCCAGCTTCCCCCATGCCCAGACTGTCTCAGTCTTAGGCCACCTTCTTATCAAACACCACATCCCTAGAGATCACCACCTTGCCTCTCTTGGGATCATAGAGCCAATACGCCTTGGTGCCCTCCTCGTAGCCCAAGAGCACCATCGGCGTGCTCCTGTCTTGCTGCTTTCCAAGGTAAGGCTTGGTGTTCTTCACATGGCCGACGTAGCCAAATATCCTAAGGAAGGACACATTCGGCTTGCATCCATGCCAAGCCTCAAACGGCGTCATGCCCTTTAGGGCCTTGGTGGGCGCGCGGTTGAGGATGAACACCACCATGGTCACCGCCTCTCCCCAGAACTTTGCCGGCATGCTTTTGGCCTTCATCATGGATCGAGCCATGCCGACCACCGTCTGGTTCCACCACTCCACAATGCCATTCTACTATGGCGAGTACGGCGTAGTGTGGTCTCGCACCACACCCTGATTCACGCAGTATGCAGCGAACTCCACCGAAGTGAATTCGCCACCGCGATCAGTCCGCAACACGCGCAGCTTCTTGCCGCTCTCCGCCTCCGCACGCCTTGAACTTCTTGACCGCTTCCGCCACCTAAGTCTTGCACGTTAGGACTTGCAGCCACATATAGCGACTGCAATCATCCACGAGCAGGAGAAAGTACCACCGTCCACCGTTTGTGGCTGGCGTGATTGGCCCGTAGAGATCGCCGTGGACGAGTGAATGCTCTAGTTTGGTTTTGATGAATTGATAAAACCCTAAGTGCTAACCTAGTTTATCAAAGTGATTATGAGATAGGTAGCACTACTCTAAGTAATGAAGCAATGGTGAAAATCATGATGATGGTGATGGCATGGTGATGATCAAATGCTTGGACTTGGAAAAGAAGAAAGAGAAAAATAAAAAGCTCAAGGCAAAGATAAAACTTGATAGGAGATTTTTTGTTTTGGTGATCAAGACACTTAGTGAGTGTGATCGCATTTAGGATCGATAGCCGTACTATTAAGAGGAGTGAAACTCGTATCGAAATGCGGTTATCAAAGTGCGACTAGATGCTCTAACTCATTGCATATGCATTTAGGATCTAGTGGAGTGCTAACACCCTTAAAAACATTTGTGAAAATATGCTAACATATGTGCATAAGGTGATACACTTGGTGGTTGGCACATTTGAGCAAGGGTAAAGAAGATAGAGTTGAAAAGGAGTTTGTCGCGCTGGTCACAGAGTGACCGGACACGTCCAAAATTGGGACCGGACGCGTCCGGTATTTTATTCAGTCTTGGGGTAGTCAGACAGAAGTGACGGGACACTTCCGGAATCTAGACCTGACGCGTCCGATATTTAGACCCGAGGTGAGCGACTAAGTGAAAGTGATCGGACTCTGGCTCAGTAGAGTGACCAGACGCTGATGAGTTACTGTTCAGCGTCAGATCAAAGTGATATCACCAACCTCCGCTTGACGATCCTCGCTGCTCCAAGCCGTCTAGGTGGCGGCTACCCTATTGAGGGTTTGGCGTGTGATGCCAATTAGCGCATGAACCTCTAAGTGAGTGAATCGCCACAACAGGAACTAGCTTGTCGGCAAGCAAGTGAACCTCGGAGGAAAAATCATTGTGTCTTGATTGTGTCCTTGGTATTTATTGGTATTCACTCATTGGTCACTTGCCACGGTGGTATACCTCTCTACCACTCTCTTGTATTTCATTATACATTCACTTGGATAGAGCTAGTGGTAGTTAAGACTAGATAGTGTATCATTTAATTGTATTACTCTCACTAGGTTGATGACCTAGGTGTTTATTAGTGACATAGCTTTGTTGTGATATATTAGAGATCATAGAAAATAGAATTGGGTAGGTGGCTTGCAACCTCAAGTATAGTGCTAGCGTAAAATTCGCTTCGCCATCTTATTGACCAATCATTTGTCTTAGTGTTGTTGTAGAAATTTTTAATAGTCTATTCACCCCCCTCTAGCCATTAGAACCTTTCAACGAGCTTGAGAGCGTCCGCCGTGCGATACTTGGCCACCTTTGGGAATGGCAGCCTCCTCTGCTTCCCGGCCAGGCAGCTGTCACATAACTCGCCTGCGTGCTTGATATGGGGCAGCCCTTAGACCATCTTCTCCAGCCGACCGAGTGCGTCGAAGCTAAGATAGCCGAACCGGGCATGCCACAGCCACGGCTCTTCGGTGTGCCGTGCTGCCAGGCACACCGGCTGCTCCACCTTTAAGTCGAGCAGGTACAGCCAGTTCCAGGACCTCTTCACCTTGGCAAGAAGGCATTGTTCCCGGTCCCTGATCCTAAGGATGCCATCCTTGATCAGTACCTCGCTACCGCGCTCATCTAGCTGGCCAATGCTGATGATGCTTGAACATAGCTACAAGATATAATATACATCCGTCAGCGCGCGGTGCTCGCCGTTCTGGCACCTAAAGATGATGGTGCCGGTCACGTCGCCGTTGAGCTCGGAGAAGGCTGCCTTAGAGCCCATCATGTGGTTGCTGGCGTCAGAATCCAGGTACCACCGCTACTCCAGCTCGCCGCCCACACGTTCGAGGTGGACTTGGGCGCGCGGTTTATCGAGGTTGACAGCCTTCAGAGCCTTCCCAGGCCCTTCCACCGCCATCACCTCTCCCTTCTTCTTGGCGTCAATATCGTGCAGTGCACAGAACATCACCATCAGAAGAGTGGTCTCGTCATCATCATCAGCCTGCGCCAGATAAGCCTCAGCCTTCTTCTCCTACTTGCGATTTGAGCACTCCTTTACCCAATGACCCGTCTTCCCGCAGCGCCGGCAGGCGTTGGGGTCGACCTTCTTCTTCTTCTTCTTCTTCTCCGAAGAAGCCTTGCCGCGGTGCTTGCCATCGCCGCCGCGGCTAGAGGAGGCTTCCCTAGACTTCATCATCCGGCAGCCCACTCCTCCTCTGTCAGTAGCAGCTTGCCGCTGTCCGTCGTTGCTGTGGCCTGCTCTATGCGCTCGTCCACCACCCGCAGACGACCTATCACATCCTCAATGGTGAGGGTGGACAAGTCTAGCATCGTCTCTATGGAGAGAGCGATCTGGATATACTTCACCGGCATGAAGTGTAGGTACTTGGAGACCACCTCCTCTTCATCAATGGTGACGCCGTGGCTCATCAGCTTGCTGATGAGCGACTCCAGGCGGAGGGAGAAGTCCTCTGCCGATTCACCATTCTTGAACTTGAGGTTAGCGTACTCCTGCATTAGCAGCTGGGCCGCCGCCTTCTTTACGCGGTCGGAACCGACGCGCATCGCCGCAATAGCCTCCCACGCCTCCTTAGCAGAGCTCTTCGCCCCCAACGGCTCCCTGTACTCCGTTGGTACAGCAGCGATGATAGCCTCCAACGCTGACATGTCTTCTTCGTTGTCAGTACTCTTGTCAATGACATTCCAGAGCCATCGGGCTCTGAGCTTGACCTTTATGGTCACTGCCCACTCGCCATAGTTGGTGCTGACCTCCCGTACCGTGCGCACGACGACCTCCTATCGTGGCTGGGCAGCCACAGCAGCGCCGCTGCTGTCGTCCATCTCTAAACCATCCGTCATCGTCAGCGGCTAGTCCGGCGACGGCGCTTGTATGGCTCCAATACCACTTGTTGGCCCCTCGATCTCCGGCAAGGGTGAGCCGATCGCTCACCGGCGTTGTCAACCAGACACTATGACTAGAGGTAAAAGAAGAGAGGGAGAACAGAGCGCGTAGACACACAGCTCAAGTACCAGCGTTGGTCGGAGCTCTGCAGAGGATATGGCAAAACTAAACTCAATCTCTTTACTGAGTTGCAGTGGGAAGATATATATACAACTCTACCCATCTAATCCTAGTACACAGACATGTCAGGCTGTCATGCTGCTACAGTGACTAGATATGACAGCAGGGGCTGACTTTGGCATCTGCCCCTACTGTGGCTATAGTGCGTCAGGGGAGCCTTTCGACGCCTATCTCTGCAGCGGCTACAGTGCAGCAGTAGAGAGCCTTTCAACACCTATCCCTGCCGTACGTCCTTACAGGGAGCAGCAGATTACTTAACGTACCCTTCGTCGCTGAAGCTTCTCGACTCCGGCCAGATGCCTGAAGCAGAGCGAGATCACCGCAGGATTAAAAGATTTGTTTCAGTTAGAACCAAACCAGAGCTTGTTCAGATTCGCATAGAATTGTATTACTAACCGGTGTCAATGACCCCGATGATTATATCCTCCCCTTGGTTGCTTTTTCGGAGCAGCTCACGGGGCATCTGGTAGTTCAGACCAAGGAAGTCCCAGCTACGAGTGGTGGTAGCAGTGCAGGTTCTGCTAGGTTTGACACTAATGACTTCCGGAAACTCTGTAAATTTCATATTACATGAACCGTTTATTAGTTGACAGAGCCATGAGGGCAAAGGCTGGTTTCGGCAGATACGTACTAATTCTGTTGTTATTTGTTAATGAAGACATTACCTGCAAGCTGTTCAGCTTGATCTTCGGTAAGTATTGCAGCGAACCCTGAGAAGCCGTGCTTGTAGTTGTGGGTCATGGAGGCCAAAGAATCTTCCTTGCTGATAATTGATTCAGCACAGAGAGTGATAACCTCTTTATTAGCTAAATGCAATAATGCCAAGTAATTTGAGAAAACTATGGTGCCTGGTTATATTTTATATGAAAATAGAAGAGATATAGCCCAGGAATTATCTTAGAAAAAAAGTATATGATGCCTATTATTTAGTTAGCTTGATTAAGATTCATTCAATCACAACCCAGGTATGCAAATGGACTTGGCTTGACTTTTAAATAATATATATAGGATGCACACAATAGACTAATTGCCATTTGATACTCCATTCTGACCCTCAATTAAAGTCCATTAGAATATATAGCACTTGGCTAATAATATTACGATATTGCTACCGTGCTAGCGTTCGTCCCGTCCGGACGGACCCTGCACGACGCGACCGACCACGCCTCGCCTTATCCGACTGTGTCTCGCTCTGCTCGTCCGCGTCCTCCTCCCGCTCCTCCACTCTGCTCGACCGACCGCGCCTCGCTCTGCTCGCCCGCTCCTCCACTCTCCCGCTGCTGGCACGCAGCGCTCGCGCGCCGCCGCCCCTCCCTCACTCCCTCCACGACCTCCATGCCACCGGAGAGGAGGGCGACGGCGGCGGCTTCCGGCGAGCCTCCCCTCCCCTCCCTCCCTCCGTGACCTCCATGCCACCAGAGAGGAGGGCGACGACGGCAACTTCCGGCGAGCCGCCCCTCCCTCCCTCCCTCCGCGACCTCCATGCCACCGGAGAGGAGGGCGACGGCGGCAGCTTCCGACGAGGTAGGTGGATCTGAGCCCTCCTCCTCTGGGTCTGAGCTCTCCTCCTCCCCCTCCTCTGGATCTGGATCTGAGGGACGCCACGGTGGCTAGGGTTCCGACGAGCTCTGTTGCCGTAGCCTTGTTTTGCTGTTGCAACAAGTAATATTCATTTGTTGCATTAGTCTCTTTTTTCTGATGTTGCATCTCGTATTGCGCTTTGTTTCTGTTGTTGCAGTATCGTTGTTTTGCTGTTGCAACAAGTATTTTTTCTTTGTTGCATTAGTCTTTTTTCTGATGTCGCATCTCGCATTGTGCTTTGTTTCTTGTTGTTGCAGTAGCTTTGTTTTGCTGTTGCAATAAGTAATTTTTCTTTGTTGCATTAATTTTTTTTCTGAAGTTGATTTCTTGCATTTGCGCTTTTGTTCTGTTTTTGTTGCGGCAGCCTTGTTACGATGTTGCAACAAGTAATATTGTTTGTTGCATTAGTTTCTGTTTTCTGATGTTGCATCCCATATTACGGTAGCTTTGTTCTGTTGTCGCAGTCGCGGTGAGGATGAGAGCACGATGAGGATGCGACGCACTAGCGTGGGCGCGGCGGGGGATGGGCGGCGCGACGGGATGGCGGTGGGACGGGGCAGCACGGTGGGATGGCGGCGCCTGCGGGACGGAACGAGTCTACTGTACCGTGGGGCGGCGGGGCGCTAGGTGCTCCGTTGTTTTGGTCGGGGATCGAAATGAGTCTACTGCTCCAGGGGCAGCGGGGGCGTGGTTTCGTGCGTGGGGGCAGGACACTCGGACGGGACCGGAGGTGCGCCCGGATGCGCCCCTAAATCCAGGCGTCCGGGTGCTAGGAGCGTCGATAACATTAATATGTATGGTATTGTATTGTTTCCAATTAAAAGATTATATGCACGTGCATGCATGTGTCATAACACAATTTATATATCAAAATTCACATCATATTTTGTGTACGTACGAAACACAATATTCTCCACGTACCTTCCAAGAACATTGCTGAGTAGATCATGGTGCGAAGCAATGACATCGTTGGGGTGTCCATGTTTCACATCGCCTAGGTATACGATATATACAGACCGGATAAAAAAATTGTTTTTCTATACCTAATACTAAAGAGGTAAAATTTCTTAACACCCTAAATTTTCGTCCAACCTACTGTGGCTCGGTCTCGCCGTCGCCTCCTGCCTGCAATGGGGCGTGACTTCCGACCGTGGTCTGATTCAAGCGACCGAACAAGGAGGAGTTAAGGGAGGAATTACAAACAAATAATGGGTTTCAGATGTAAAGGTACGAGAGACAAAGAAATAGTGAAAGAGCTTAAACAGTTTTAGAAACAAATTTAGGGTTCCTAATACAAAACTTCATTTTTCTTTCTTTTTTTTAAGCTTGGGCTTGTTGTGGTGGGCCTCGGATTCAACCCAAGGCTGGGCTGGCTGCACTGTGGTCTGGGCCGAAGCCCATGGCCCGGTCACACAGTAGCCCTTTTTCTTTCTTTTCTGTTTTCTTTTCTTTTAAATCAGTCGAGAATTCTAGAAAATCATAAAAAATCATAGAAAAATCATAAAAATATCAAACCAGTATATTTTTACACTCCTTTTGACTAGGGCTACACAGTAAACATATAGTATCATATGCTTTAGTATAAAGATTTTGTTGTGTCTATAGATCTATGTTTTTGTGTAATTAATTTGCTGAAATTTTATCTATATATATCTACTCTCACCATGCTCCAATTTTTTACGTGTGCCCCTTTTTTTGTCCACCTTCCCTTGACCTCCCGATAGTGTAGTTTCTTTCATCCGGACTTATATAACTCGTGCTCATGCGAGTTAGAACAGCTCACATCTAGCGCGATACGGAGTCCGATTCCAATATGTATTGGGTCGTGTATATGATGCAGGCTCATGAGCCGTGCTTATACGAGTTAGAACATCTCAAGTCTAAAGATGATTAAGTTGAGTGCGAGCCAATGGTGACAGCTTAAACCAGATCCGGCCGCAACCCCCACCCTCACCCTAAACGGCGCGGACACTTCTCGCCAATCAGTAGATGGCGGCAGGTTGATGGTGGCCGTGCTTCACCTGAATCAATATAAGGATATGGGACAAAGAAAATACACACATGACGAAAAAACCCGGAGAGAGAAGGAAACAACTTACTGCTGAATGTGGAAAGTTTGTTGGAGAAGAATTTTAGCAACTTCTTATTTGTAACTCGGTGAGTGTGAAACTGTCTCTGCTCGTGCCACCGGCAACGCAATAAAATGTTCTTCTATTGTAACGCACGGACATATTTGCCAGTAGAAACTTATTACTCAAATTTGCTAAGGCAGTCATATACATGATAACCACTCTGTTTAGGTAGTACAAACAAGCTAGTATCGGCAGAAATATGCATCAGTTGCTTACCCTGCTACGCGATCTTCCATGCGCCCCCAATGACACTGTGCAAAAGCAAAGCAGGGCCTTGTTTAGATGCACACCAAATTCCAAGTTTTTTCACTCTCTCTCCATCACATCAATTTTTAACCGCTTGCATGGAGTATTAAATGTAGGTAAAAAAAATAACTAATTACACAGTTTAGTTGGAAATCACGAGATGAATCTTTTGAGCCTAGTTGGTCTACAATTGGACAATATTTACCAAATAAGACAAAAGTGGTACTATTCATCGGGTTGCAAAAATTTGCAAAGAGAACAAGGCCCAGTATCGCCAAAACTACAGAGGCACGCCTGGAAGAATGTAACCCCATCATTTTTATGTTCTTTGTGTGCGATCTTGCAGTGCTGATAATGGCTTAATGGGCATGTATTTATAGATGTGTGTATGAATGAATATTGTGGAAAGACGCGTGTGAAATTTATGTAAGAGGCGTTCATGGATTGGTGTCTGGTTTGAGCTGGCCAACGTAGGAAAGAAAGAGTCCAAAAAGAGATATTTAAACTAGGGACTTATACCCCTTCTCTTTTCATATTTTAAGATAGGGACAGGGACGGGGGCAGGTGAGGAGGACGTGGACAGACAGCACCAGTCTGCGGAGCGGCACGGAGCCCCGCGAAAACAAAATCCAAAGGAGCGAGCCACGTATTATCTGACTAATTCATCCCCGCTCCATACCCGCTACGCGATGATCGGCCACGGATTATCTGACTAATTCTTTTTGAAAAGATCTTATGACTAATTCATCCCAGGTCAATAACGCTACGCGATGACCCTGCCATGGATTATCACTAGTATAAAACTTAATTTTAGCAGCGGGTTTTTTAAGAAGCAATTCAATTTTCCTCTATTGACGTCCGAAATAAGTCGCCTTTAGAAACGCATCGACTATATTTTCAGCCATCTTTAAAAATTGATCTCTAGAGATGGTTTTATTTGCAGTTATCTCTACGAATACCTCTATTTATAAAGGCGGTTCTATTTTCAACTGCTTTTAAAAATAGAGCCACCTCAAAAAAAAAGTTGCATAATAAAAATTTGAATTTTTCAAATAACCTTAAATGCAGAAACGACCAAAAGAAACATTGTAGATCTCGAAGAGTTATGCAACTTTGTAGTTGACAATCTTTTCATTTAAAGTCATCTGTGCAAGAAAAATTATGTTTAAATTTCTCACATTTGAAATTCAAAATTTTCAAAAGATCGGATGGAGAAACGATCGAAGAGAGTTCCTTGGCCCTAAAAAATAGTTGTGCTTCTTTCCTTGGCCTTCTCAATTCAGAACTTACCTATTTGACCTGAAAACATTCTTTAATTCGGTATATCGCCCTTTTCTTAGTTTTGGGACTCAATGGTGTTAAGTCAGGGGGCACCTTGACGGAAAAATAAATCAATGCAGTGTATCTATGTTTAATTTTAAGCAATATTCTGCATGGTTTAAGATTTATCTTAACTACATAAAATAAGAAATACATTTTTTGAACATGGAAACGGTATATTGACTATATTCGCACATATCAATCAAATAAATAAGGCAAAAGCTTCTTTCTGGCCGGGCAGACTCGTGCGACTAGGCACGCACACTACCGCCCGCAACCTAACAGGTGATGGGTCTCACCGGTTTTATCCCCATCGTCCTCCTCCTTTCGTTCCCCATCCAGTTCTCCTCTCTCCCTCTCTTGCACAGGCCTTCCCCTCTCGGCTGCCGCACAGGCGCTCCCCAGCGGCTGTAGTAGCCTCCTCGACGGCTGCTCGTGCTCTCCCCGGTGACCGTGCGTGCTCTCCCCATCTCCAAATCGTTCGGGTGGTGCACCATCTTCTCCTCTCTCCCTCTCTTCTTCCCCAACTCCAGCGGGTTTACAAAGGGCTCGGAGGAGGCAGGCCGACCAAGTAGTAGAGATGGCGGGAGGGCGGAATTAGGGTTTTGGCGGCGTAGTAGGCGGCTAGGCCAAGGCAGGGCGGGGCGCCCATGGCCTTGGCGGTGGCGGGAGGGGGAGGGGGAAGGGAAGGAGGAGGTCGCCATGGGCGGTGGGCAGCGACGGGGGCAAGGACGAGGAGGAGGGCGTGGTCGAGGGGAGCGGGGCCGGGAGGTGGGCGGCTAGGCCGACGGTGAGGGAGCCATTGTCCAGGCGCGGCATTCGAGGAAGGCTAGGGTGGGGGCAAGGACAAGGAAGATGGGCCGAAGCTGAGGAGGGAAGACTAGCGGGAGCATAGAGGAAGTGTCGGAGGAGGAAGAAGGTGAAAGTGTGCATTTCATATGCTAATAGCACGGCTATAAGATGCACAAATACATCACAATTGACCATGCATTAGCCGCGTATATAATAAGATGAACAAATACATCACAATTGGATTACTATCGGTGCGGAGACTGAGCCAGCCTCCTCTCGCGCGGCTTGCCCTGCCTCTACCTAGGTCGTCGCTATAGCCCCGGCTTGGCGCTCGTAGTACATCGAGTATATCGGCACATGTCGGTCAAGGATGAATTAAGTACACCAAACAAACGAAAAGGCAGGCATGTGATCCAATTTCAACTACGTTTCCATGTTAGAGGCGCATGGGCAAAAGCAAAGAGTAAAAAAGCTTCATTCTTTCGCGTCCATCGACACGGGTACACACGGCTGCCCAAAGTTCGATGTCCTGCTCGAGCACCACCATGTGCTGCATGTTGAAGCCTCTGTCCCACCTAGGATACAACGACGCCTTCCCCTCATCTTGTTGCCTTGTTGGCCCTGCTGCTGCTGCGCGCCGCCAACGCCTTCCCCCACCCAAAGTTATATATGGGCAATGGGCCGGCACGGCATGGGCCCATGCCAGCCACGGCACGATAGGGCCCGGTGTGCCACCGGGCCGTGCCTCCCTAGGATTCATGCCTCGCCGATAGCCCAGACACAGCCTGCCGGGCCACTTTTTGTTTCGAGACGGCTCGATGAGCCCGCCTTTTTTAGCAGGCCGTGCCGGCCCAAGGCCCACTAAGAGAAGGGAAGGGGAGGCTGGAAGAGCAGCAGGCAGTAGGTAGTTCCATGACCTTGAGCCGCACTGGTGGTGTGGAGGAGCCAGAGGTGGCTGGTGCCTGCGGTATGGCCACGCGGGGGCATGGAGGAGGAGGTGGCTGGCCGGCCAGCAGCCACACTCAACGCCACCACGCTCGAAGTCAGCACCTGTGGTGCGGTCATGTAGTCGTGGAGGAGGCGGCCACTTGAGGAGGAGGGCCATGGAGGAGGAGCCCGGTTGCCGGTGCGCTCAAAGTCAAGGCTGCTCGCACGAGCTGTGACCAGACATGCGGAGGGAGCGACGAGCGAGAGCCAAGTATGGGTGAGGAGTGGGAAGTGCGGCGCCGCCTGGTGCGCGAGTCATGAGAGTTGAGTCATGGACTAGCGGTGCATGAGTACGGCGTGAGGGGAGGCCGAGAGGGAGACAGGGATAGGGTTTTGGGGGGGGTGGGAGCGTGGGCCTTTAGCAGGCCAAGGCCGGCAGCGGGCCCACACCGGGCCTCCACTAAATTTTGGGCCGTGCTGTGTGAAAGGTCCTAATGGCTAGAGGAGAGTGAATAGCCTATTAAAAATCTACAACAACACTAAGCCAAGTGGTTAGACAATTATG